CTATTTCTCAGACAATTCTTTAAACTTTCATTCTCTAGATTTCGACCAGCATGATTGAAAAGTTTCCTGTAYTTATGCTGTACTTATTCACAGCTTTACTGCTGTGTCGCTCAACATTGTGCAATCCTAGCACTATAAAAGACCATGCGATGGTCAATGAGGAGCTTTTGATCCGTCGTTTTAAAGCGCAGGATTGGATGAGTTGTATCCTGTCGTGTCAGGACGATCCGAAGTGCGAAGCTTACAATTACYAATATAAAGGCAGTAGTTCTTGTGAGCTGTATCGATTGGATGCAATGAAAGACCTGGTTGACATGAAGCTTAAGTACATGCATGGCTTCATCTTTCAGCATCTCAAAAGAGACAAGGTTTGTGAGTAAAACTGGTACCGGCCAGTTATCCTTAATTCAACAAATGACAAACCCGTCCCGCAATTTTAACCCCTCTACTCTGCGCAACCTATCCACAACACAACACGAACTAACAGCGACTTAAACCAAACGACCGATGATAATTCACCGATTAAAGAATCAATTTAAAAACAAATCGATCGACCAACTAAAACCCATAAATACAACGTCACTTTCATATTCAATGAACACTTGCGATTTTTGCAGAGCGATTCTTGCAGAGATCGTCGCGCGACCATCGCMTGAGTTTCGAACATGCTTGAAAATTGGCTGCAACTTCGCGGCGATTTTCCATCGTCGCAACAATCGCGGGGCTGTTATGATTTGAGTTGCGCGATAGCAAAGTGGCGATTATCGCACTGCAAAATCGCAAGTGTAAACGGGCCTTACACAAAACTAAAACTGCAATGAAAAGTGATTACGTTTTGAATATTTTTAGAATAAACTCTGTTATGTTAAACCGCCATACCAAGACAACACAAATCTACCACAGCAATCAAGTCAGGCTTGTAAAGCTCTGAAAAGGGAACGTCCAAATGCTGCATCAGGTCAGCATTGGTTGGATATCGATGCTGGCGGCCCATTGCAGCCATTTCCCGCTTACTGTGATATGGAGACAGACGGAGGAGGCTGGACGCTTGTGTGGTCTTACACTGTACACAGTAAAGACGCATTTGCGAACATCATAAACTGTGTGCATCCACAAGCCAAGAATATGACAAAAGCAGAGAACAATGTCTATGTAAGTGCACCTCAAAATGAGACAGATTTTAACTCCATTGACTTTGCAAAATGGAGTTTGATCGGGAATGAATTTCTCATTAAATCAAATACCAATAATTGGGTTTCCTGTGTTCCTGTTACTGGGGGTTTGGTGAGTAGTACCAATGGTAATGTTACCTGTAAAGTGGTCAAAGAAGTCAACCAAACAAGCTGCTTCGAAATTCCAGGAGATATCGAAATAACTAATGATGGGTTTATTTTAGAGGGTAAGGTGAATAAGACTCTCACCTATTTTTATGATCGAGGTGCTGATAGTTTCACAAATTTGACCATTCATCCGTGCGAGGAGGATACGACCAATAATCGTGGTAGTATATACTTAAGATAGACATTGTCCTTGTCTAATTAGTCTACAATTTCACGGATTAACAGCCGCTCTAATAAAACCGTGAGCACCTAAAATATTTCTGTAATGTTAGAAGCGTCTTTGATGCCTCATGTTCTTAAACGAAATTCAAAAAGAAAGTCATGTTATTTTCAACCCAACTGATGAAGAGTAACGACTCTAGGCCCCGCGAACCAAAATCACTGAAATAGTCAAGTTGTAATAGTAGAGAAAACTGTGAAACAAAATCACTGAAATAGTCAAGTTGTAATAGTAGAGAAAACCGTGAAACAAAATCACTGAAATAGTCAAGTTGTAATAGTAGAGAAAACAATGGAATAAAAGAGAACTAGTCTGAGTCAGTTTATGTTAACTATTAGTAAAAGTATAATACAAACAATATGGATACTTGAATGTTTTAGATTATTATCTAGTATGAAGAACGTCTACTTTTGATACACTGCTGTAGTGAGAAAGGGGGCAGGAATTGAGTACCGGGTATGCACACTTACTTCAGAAGTATCATAAACAAAACCCGACCCCAATTATCTACAAATTAAGGGAAATAGTTTCTAAGATATGAATCAAATGATTTGTACTGTGGGATTAAGAATAAATCAAATTTACATCGTTGAGTATATTATCGCTACACAAGTAAAACGAAATCACTGATAACGACCAGTGACTTAACGGATCGTTACTATTTTACACGTTATAAAATAAAGGTGACAACTACATGGAATAATAATATTAGCACACGATATAATACAATGATTCACGGTAAGTTAAAACCATGGGCGTGGCAAGTCAATATGTATATACGAGCTGGATAACTGTTCCTACATTATCAATAAAGACGAATGACTGTCGTTCCCTACTCATATTCTAGATTCAAGTTATTGCTAATTCATTAAGATTTAAAACCCATAGAAAGGCAAGAGCACCTTTTAAAAGTGTCAAGTAATAACCTGTGAATCAATGGGAGGCTACGCCTTCTTCTTGGCCAGTTGTTCCAACAAACTCTTCAACTTGACCCTCAGCAGTCACATCTTTCACTTCTGTTGCCACAAGAGCAGCTGACGCATCAACTAACCCAACTTGATGTGCAACAGTCTCTTCAGGCACCCCGCCTGCATACATGACCTTTCCTGCTGTCGCATCCTCAGTTGGGACTTCAATGCTATGATCGACAGCCATCTGTTGCTGACTGGCTGACACCAGTGCCTCTACTGCAGCTTGAAGGGCAGTTGCTTCATGAGACTCAGCTCCTGGTGGAAGACTTAGCTCAATGGTTGTCATCTCTACATCACCCTGAACACGGTCAGCCATAAGAGAGCTTGCATCAACTGTAGACGAGCCATCTGCTGTACCCACAATGCCTGTTTCAACCTCTTCAGTCTCCATGGCAACACCACTAGCTGCTGCCGACTCAGCAATGACGTCAACACTGTTGAATTCAGTCTCGCCAGTCTCCTCAGTTTGGCTTCCTTGGTCAACACCAGTGTGCTTGCGTTTCATGTGCTTGGAGAGAGATGACTTCTCCTTGAATTGGCGCGCACAGACTTCACATTGGAAGGGCTTTTCATCAGTGTGTGTGAGAAGGTGTCTCTTCAGGTTGTAAGGACTGGCAAAATCTTTGCTGCATTGATCGCACACATGCAGGGTGACTTCCTTTGCTTTGACCTTGGCCTCTTTTTTCTCACAAATCAGGACATGCTTTCTAAGATCACTCTTGGTGGGGAAGTTCTCTTCACAGAAACGGCACTGCGCAATAGACCTGTCCTTGTTCAAACGGTTACCACACACTTTACGCACATGTTTGCGAAGATGAGAAAGTCGTCCAAATGTGTTTCCACACTCGTCACACTTGAAAGGGCGCAGGTGGTCATGTCGGGTACGAATATGCATGGTTAAAGTGGAATCATGACGGAATGAGACACCACACCTAGACAAACAGACAAAAAAAAAATTAGTAAGAAAGAACAAAGACGACTGTATAGGTCAGGTCAGATCACTGTGACTTTCTTGAGGAAAAAAGACAATGACAAGCCAAGTTGCTGAGAGTTAAATGGGCTTGCAAGTAACCGTTATTCTAGTAGATGGGTAATAAAAATGGAAAACTAACTAATAGAAAATATTTTTTTTACCGATTGCAAACATAGGGCTTTTCTCCTGTATGTATGCGCATATGAACATTGAGCTGATGAAGGCGACGGAAAAACCTGCCACAATCCTCACATTTGAACTTCTTGATGTCTGAAAATAACATAAAATTCGATTACTACGTATGATAATTAATACCTGTTTGAGTACATTTTAACTGCAATAAATAACAATAACCGACAGTCCTCCTAGATTGCGAGTCATTGTATTAGACAGTACATGTAGATATTATTCTGGCCATTGTATGACTTACTGGTATGGATCTGCAAATGCTTCTTCAAGTCAGATGGATATTTGAATGCTTTGTTACACTGTTCACAAATACGAGGACCATCACTCAGTTTGCGCTTAGCACTAGAAAGTCTTGATGGAGTTGAATCTAGGAGTAAAAGAAACAAAAACATTAACATGAATTGTATATTCACTTACTTGAAAATAATGGTCAAACTTTTGTTAGCCAGGTCTGATAAATGAATAAATGAATATTGATGGAATGAAAGAATTGGTTCTGGTATACAATTAATAAGAGTAAGTCAATATTTTACCCTCATCTCCACTGCCTTCAGTATGCATCCTCATTGCCATACTGTCTGTTGACATCTCTAGGTTTGGTTCTTCTGCCATCCCTGACACCCCACTAGCTCCTGAAAACATCCAAATTATGTCAGCAATCATACATATTAAATATATTTGAGATATTAAAGCTTCAAGTTGGTGTTTTGTTCAATTTCATTCTAATTATTAAATATATTTCATTTATGTTCAACTAAATTAGAAGCATTGCTGAACTGCAGTTTAATTAAAACAGACAAACAAAGCAGGAAACAGCTACAAAAGTAAATATTTAAAAGTTACCAGTAGAGGAAGGTTCATTGTGAGCAGAGACTTCAACTGTTACAGTCTCTTGTCCATCACCTCCCTCCATGCCATGTACACCAGTAGCCAACACTTGGAGAGTCTCAGAGCCATTCATTCCACTCTCAGGCATGTTAGACACAAGAACTGGTCGCACAATAGGCACACCATTCTGGTTCACTATCAAATAAGACCCTGTACTTGATGAAGGATCAGTGATGATTGCAGCTGGAACTGTACCAGATGTTGTTGGAATCCCAGATACCACATCTTGTAATATGGACTGGAGGGAAACTGAAGTTGTGCCCTCGCCAACGGATGTTGCTAAGTTACTAAGAACTTGCTGGGAGAAGACCATTTGATTGGCTTGTTCTGAAATGGCCTGAGACACTTGTACAGTCTGTGATGATTGTGATAGTTCAGCAGTTGTTGTTGCTGGTTGTTCACCATGTTGGCTTGTTTGGATGGCTTCTTGTCCCATTTCCATTGCCAAAAAGATAGGCTGAAGGTTTGCATAGGTACTTTCTTGTTCACCACTTTGAAGTTGTGTAGCTGGTGCTGACGTGTCTTCTGTCGTAGCTTGAACTTCTGGATCTGGTTGGGTTACTTCTGGTTGGGTAACCTCTGGTTGGGTTACCTCTGGATGGGTTACTTCTGGGGTAGGGTTATCTTGTGACGTTGTATCACTACTAACATGTTCTTGCAGTTCGTGCACTGTAGTGTCTTTATTTTGTATTTCATCAGACTTTTCTTGGTTTTGTTCAACAGAAGAATCTAGATGAGGGATAAATTATATAAAAAAGGCCATCAATAAAAGAATTCATTATTTCACTAGATAGCTGAAGACAGTGCCTAAATTGATTATTCATACTATTACCATATTCATCCTTCTCTGACAGGACAACAGTTCAAATTATACTACAATATTTCAATAAAATAACAATTAATGTCTTTGCTCAAAATTTAGCAGACAAGGAAGCTACTTTATACTGGTCCATACTAAGTTAAAAAACGGTCGTATGCATATCTGTTCTTTGATATATGGGGGATGAGACAAGAAGCAAGAATACAAGCACAGTTTCTCCTGCTACTCAAGAAAAACATCTGTTCATTATATATTTCTTCTAGAAAATTGTTATAATTCTCTTTCGAGCACAATGGTGACAAACCATATCTGTCATCTACCATTGAGAGCATGCACTATATCTCAAAAATACAGAACTAAATAGAATCAAACAGAGAACTAATTGAAAAGACCAAGCAACTTTGCAAGAATGAAAAAAATTACAACTTGATAAAATATACATAAATCATACATATTTCTTATGTTCTTTTGCATGGACAGTATTAACAAAATTTAGTGGCATTTTTCATTAGGCATGAAGATTCAAACTGTATGTGAGCACATGAAACTGTAAGCACCATTATCCAGTGGTTTAGCTGTATCAATATTTATAATTTCCAAAAGTTAAGGATTATAGAAATTTAAGCCAAAAATTGTTTCATGGATAAATTGAAAAAGTCCAAATTTACAAAGGTGAGCTAGTTTTTTATGTAAAGTGTATCATTATAGCAATTATTTCAGAATATAGCCATCTCTTTAAAGATAAATTAAATTTTAACTAAATTTACATAAGCAGTGCTTTCACACACCCGCCATATTTGCTCCTTCCCGCGCCTTCCCCTTTCGCTTTATAAAGTTTATCAAAAGAGTGAACGACGCTTAAAATACATAACGTTCTGTATTTCCAAATATACTCTCTACAAGCTCACTTAAATCTGAGTTTATTAGAACAAACGAAAGCAGGAAAAGAAGTGAGCTTAGTTTCTGTTTCGTTCATGATGAAGGACAACCAAGGACATAAACTCGGCCGCCATTTTTCCATCTTTACGGCCATGCTTACACAGAAAAACCCCCTTAATTGACGCAGACAAAATACCAAAAACATCGACCTACACCTCATTTGATAATATATAACTTTTGGGGACGAAAAGAAGGGAATTACAGAGGTCTGGGACCAGACTGGGTTCGACGCCAAACGGCCTCGTTTCTTCAACAAGAACCTGGGCAAGACTAACTTCACTTGGCGTAAGACTGGGTACCGGAAAATTCTCTTTTAGCTTGACTTCGATCCAGGGACTTGCAAGGAAATTTGAGATAGGGAAAAGCTTTTATAAATTGAGCTACGAGATCTACTAACGGCTTGCAAGAGATTGTTGTCTTATCGCGACAAAATGCAACGCCATCTTGCCAAGAAGGGACGCCGTCTTGTGCTTTCTTACGATTCGCGCTCAAAACGAGTGCTTGTCTGGTCGGCTTACCTTCCGTGTTTGGCTGGTTAGACCCTGACATCCCTTCATATTGTGATAGTTCTCCACTTTCCACTTGTTCAAAGGACATTGTTGAGCAATCGCCCGCTCAAAGTAGAGCTTGATTTTGAAATACACTAAGGAGGAAAGGAGGTGCTTTCAACTCAAAGCAAAATGTCGTGTGTTGTCTTGGTCGTTTACAGACGATTTGCTCGAAAGCACCTTTTTCTCATAAGTAAATTATTTCACTTTAAAATGAGATAATGATGACTCTCAGGGAAGTTAGAAAGACAGATTTTTTGACAAGTTTTTAGGAAAGTTTGAATTTTCAACTGTTACACGAGGCAATGAGTTGGCTGGCCCGCCATACCCTGTTCACGTGACTTAGTTCGACATTGTGATTGGTGGACAGCTTAACATCTTATGTTTTTCACTAACTGCTTTTAAATTGAGGAAATATATGTTTTGTTTACTGTAGAAAACGAAATCGGACATTTACAGTGCGAAAAAAATATCTAAAAGAAGAATTTTTTAAGAATTAATACTTTTACACCTTTTGAACATAACATTTTAATCATGGCATGTCTAATATTATAACATATTACAATGACAACGAATAGTTTTCACTGCAACTCAATTGCACAAGCACACTTGGTCAACAATATACATGGCCTTTGTGCTTTGCTTTTATGAATGTAATTTAATTGTGTTCTAGTGAAAACCAATGAACAATCATCAGAACTTGATGTATGTACGCATTAGGTAGTGGGAGGGTAGTGGTAAATGGCAGAGAAATGACTTGTGTTTGGGCGTGGCTTAACATTCAAAAATGTCTAGATATATTAATTAAAAATGTATATGTTTTTCAGTAAAACTGACTTCATCATCTATAGAGTACATTAATTTTGTCAATCATATATTATTCATGTATAGAGTAGATGCACTTCATCTAGGAAATATATAGTACTTTAATTACTTATAGTATTGATTAACAGTAGGAAACAAAGAAATTAGCATAGAAGTTAGCACCTAATTTGAACCATTTAGATTTCATGGATTGTGTAGCTACTCTATCATAATTATATATATTATATACAGACTATATATTATTTTAAAGATTAATGTTGATCTGTTCTTTATCATGTTTATATACATAAGTAATATTGGATGACATAAGCTTAAGATTTGCTGAAAACAAAGAGAAAAGTTTTTACGGTGATTTCAAAAATTACCTAACAAATTCCATGCTAGTTCAATCATTATAATTGTATTGTATACAAGAATGGAACAATCAGTTTCTCATGGAGTATAATTAGAGATAATAATTAATTACCTATATTGTGCAAATTCACATGTGTATATGATCAAATGGGCCTATAACAAATAAAAGTCAAACGAAGATCACTCAAGCTGAAATGCCCCCTGCCCCACCCCCCTTCTTTGACAAAATCATGAATGTCTTTTTTTCTAAAATAGAGACAATCATTAATATAAATAATTATATATATGAAGACTAGAGCAAATATTTTAAAATTGCAGCTAGGAAGAGTCATAATAAAAACTGAACAAAAGCATTTTTTCACTAGCTTAAGTTTTTAATGTTACAACGCACTGAAGAAGGTCAGAGTTCTGACCGAAACGTCTGCATTCTCATTAAAAACTTAAGCTAGTGAAAAAATACTTTTGTTCAGTTTTTAAGACTAGAGCAAATTTATCCCTAACCACAAATGTGTTATGATATTCTTTGATGCAATAATTATGTGTGACTAGATGCATTAATTCTAATGAAAGCTATTCCTTCTTCTTGTCATCCATTCTTGTCATCTTCTTGTCATCCAACATTTTTAACATTACAGTCCCTGCCACACATACACTCTTGCCAACAAGGAAGATGAGTGCAGGGATGTACCAGCATGCCATTATTCTGTAGTATGGACCACTGAAGGGGTCACTAATGGCTGGGCAGATCATGCTATTTAAATTGACTTCGCTTAACTGTAGAGAAACAACAAGGGTCTCAGTACTTGGATGGTTAGTAAATAATATTTCAAACAGTTTGTATATGCATATAAATCAGGGTGGTGAAGGGTTAAACCATGATCTGTGATATATGGCCAACATAAACCCTACCAAAATATAGTGATTTCAGAAAAAGATAAATACTCAAGATAATGTATTTCAAGACTGAAAAGCATTGTTGCTTTGACTAAATGGAGCTAATGTTTACCACAGACCATCTTACAGTATATATCAGTTGTTATTTCTCATTGAGTTCTATTAAAAAGCCATGGCTACTTTCGGTCGCGCAATCGCCGTTCGACAATTGACATTTGCCATTTTATCCGACAACCTTTTTTGAAATAGGTGTATATAAGTTAAATTGAGAATTGACATTTTGTAATGAAGCTAACACGATTATGCATTGAAGTCTTGGAATACACTATGCATTGAAAATAAAACTTTTAGAGATCAATACTTACTATACCAATTGGTTGTAATACAAGGAACATGTAAAAAGTATACAAGCTGAATGTTAACGTTGCCCAATTAAAGTCCAACAGATCTTCCATTAAGTATGGACCTACAAATTTATAATCATTAATAAATTAAAAACATAATATTTGTTGTAAATTTTTCCTCAACTGTAGCAATGGTAACCCTATAGATGACCAATTGCAAGATAACACATGAAGAAGACCTACATATATGTTATTTACCAGCTGGGAGGTCCGTATAGGAAAACACTGCCTGAGGTCTTGACAGTACGGAACGGGCGCAGCGACCTATAGCCGGTAAATAACATTCTTTTTTTTTATTTGTGTTTTATGCAACTTTGCTCGCAGCCCAGCTGCAGGATACCGTTGACCGGGCAGATCATGAAAAACTGGACTGTGCGCTAGCCAATCAAAGCACACAAATGACTAGGATAACGGACCGAAAAAAAATAATTTGCAATATTAATCAAGGTGGACCTCAACATATCTTACAGCTAAAGTAACTATTACTAAAGAACTAACTGATATACACTACAATATACAGTACCTTTACAGAAGATTAAGAAAAATGGCACTACCACAAGTATCAAAATATGTTGAATCCAATAAACTTCCACTTCACATGGCAGCTGAAAGATATTCATTCAATAAAATATTGATACCAAATGATGATGTATTTTTAGGTAGTGATCACACACACTCAAAAAAACTTGGAAAACTGGAATTTCTAGTATGTGTTTGGTTCACCTTTGGATTTTATACTTACAGTTCTTGTGTTTACAACAGGGAAAACAACTGCCAGCAAAGCTCCAAATATGATATAGATTTGTATTCTGAAAAACAGAGTGTTCTGGTTTATTGAGAGCAAAATGTCAGTTGATATCTAAAAGATGTGATAAAAACATACCTGAAAATTGAAACCACTAGTTTACTTGGAGGAGCAATTAATAAATAAATCTGTTAAATAAAAACAGTATACTTAAATTGGACCAGCTGGTATGAATTCCTAATTCCAAAGTGCTACACAAATCCACACTACAAATAAAATGGGAAAGCTATGCTCCACTTTCCATTCATCTCTTCAGTTCTATTCATTGTCTTTTCATTTTCTGTATTTGGTAAATTGGCGATGACAGTGAATTTCATACTAGGATAGGCTATTGGGGTCAAGAGTGTTATGATAAAGTAAGCTTAATTGACGTAAATCCTACTTGTAGCATGACCTTCAATGAACATGGATCGAACCCTAACCACAAGCTAAGTTAGCTTTTATAATCAAAACCAACATGCGTGAACTCAAAATATATTAATAGCAGTATAATTTCTAAGAAACCTTCTTTAGCCGTTTTTGACCGTCCAAGGTTGGAAAGGAGCTATCATTATGAAAAGATTGATTATAAGCTTTTATTTGTTTGAGTCTACCTCATTAGTTGACGCTTCGACAAAGCTCAAATAAAAAAAAAATACTTTGACATTAGATATAAGAATCGATCTAATTCACTATTATTCATCGAGTTGGTATACACGAAAAAGATTTCACTTTACCTGAACCATCGACAAAACGTGGCATGGGTTTAGCAAATAGATCACTTGTCTTGTGACCACTTTGAAACCGACTTCGATACCAAACACCAAGCAAAGTAAGATCAGAAGAAACCTTTTGCCGAAATCAGTCCCAACTCGGTAACACGGCAACTTGTCTGGGATTCTACATTTTGGCAACGTTCTTAAAAATATCAAGAAAGCAAAAGCGACATAGCAAATTGTTTCGGTAAGCCTCTGCCATGGAGGTAAGAACTCGACACACTCCCGGCCTCCATTTCCCGGTAAACTATGGTTGACTCCTCCATAAGTAATATCTGAGATATAACTCCATCCTAGCTGAAGCATTTTCTTTCAGATTTTCCGGTGTTCAACCCGTTACAACATGTTTTTCCGCCGAGCACAATGTCATGTAGGTTAGAGAAGCTGGACATTCAGTTCGAGTTTCTTTGTTCAAGGTTGTTTATGGGATTTCCTGTGTATAGGGTTATTAGCCTCGCTTGTGTGACTGGCTGTATATCCTCATCAATAATTGATGGATGAGCGCATATAGTTAAACGATTAAATATGCTGAGAGATGTGAAAAACTTTATATTTCTTATATTTCAAGATGAGATAATGAAAAAGGGAAAATGTACATCATTTTATTATTTTAGGGGAAACATTGGTTTTTGCATATTTTTTCCCCCGTCATCATGCCTAAAAAGTGTAACAATAACCAGAAATGAGTGTTTAGTGTTAAATAGGAATTTAAGTCAAATAAAAAAACATAAGGAAGTGTTCATTATTTTTAAAAGGTTGGGCGGTGAGGGGCCTCCTTTCACTCTCTCCCTAAACCTGCCACACAAGTACCCTTCGTTCCTGGTTTCCCCTCTCTCAAAGGAAATAAGACACCATACACCTTGCTTGTATTATTCAGTTTCCCTTCAATACAAAGGTACAGCCATCTTTTGAAGCCAGTATACATAGGGAGCTTGCTCCCAAAACGATTTCAGGTGAAAAAAACAAAAAAAACAAATGAATATTTAAATAAGTGAATATAAAAATTGGTTGAATCGTAAGGAAGCAAGCTCCAGGGGTAAATCTGTTTCTGGAGCAAGTTCCCCCTTGTGTATGGCATGGGGAATAGATATTTTTGATTTAATTCTGGTTGATAAATGGTCAAACACAAAATAATTGATTTCAGTGTTGCACGCTTTTATTGTCTGCAATGAATGTAAATCATTTATAAGTCATTAAGTATAAAACTATGTATAAGGTGCACAGTACATGTATTCCTACAATAACCCTGAAAGTAACATATTCTCTTCATCTTGTAATCTTAAGTGAACAAATTTTACTTTTTTAGACACTTTGGATTACAAAAGATATATGGGTAGTACAGAGTCTTATTCTACATTATTATATATCACTTTTGTAGGCTGAGCATAGCTTATAAATCAAACAGTCATTACATTGACAGTGATAGTAGAGTACATGTACTTAAACCATGCACATGAGTTTCAAATTGCAGTATTTCCTATTGTCTAATAACACGAGTAGTAATTCAGATTATTTGCTTTATGGGTTATAGTTTGTGTTCTCTATTTCTTGAGACAGCTAATATAATCAACACACAGTCATATCCCAAAAAATGTAAAACATGCACTCACTCACTCACACACAGCTTGTGAGACATACTTAGTTTCACCAAAACAATATTTTGTTCATTTGAAATGATTTGTTTTATACAAAATTGTTTCCTTATTCTATAAAATATCATTATAATCAAACTACTTATCATTGTACAGAATGACACAATTTGCCTTTCTAAAATTCACAAAACTGGAAACAAGTACTCGATTCAAACTAATCCTTACAAAACAAAACTATACAAAAATTAAGTAATTTATGGTCTTTCTTGCTATCGTATTGAAAGGGGATTTAAATTTTAACACAACACCTGTCCCATATTGGATTTTGAAAATGCAGATAACTGACAAGACAGCGATAAAGAAAATGGCTCTGAAAACAGCACTCTTTGATGACACTAAAAGCAATTATACAGAACTGAAGGCTAAATGTACTGTCATATTGGAAAATCAGACTACAGGTAGAGAACGTTTATCACTTTTGAAATTAATAAACTGGAGCATTTTCATTGTGCAATGCAGATAATAATATATTATATAAAATCAAAAATGGTAATAAATTAAAGTTAATTTCTCAAATTATAAATAAACTAATACAATATCCGATTTAAAATCAGAATTCATCATTACCCAAACTAGATCAAAATAAGATATAATGCAAAATATTGTGCCAGAATATGACAGATTGGTGGTAGAGATATGAAGATTAATTGAATATCTGTTTCTCGTCAAAACATTTTACTCTTACCAACCTACTATTAACAAACAGTAATCCAATAACTTCAAATAACAAATTCTAATTTCCCGCTGTTTGAACTGTATATCGCAAAACTCTATTGAAGTCACTTTTTCATAATTAATGCACCCAAACTATCATGTGATTTCAGATAGAGTTTAAAATGAAGTTTATATGTACCTAAGGCTTTTTTATTTTAGTAATTAATTATGATAATTTCACACCACTCAGTCATTCAAACCCTATAATACTCAACCTATCCCATAAAGGACACCTAAGACCGGGCAAGTGTTTATATCAATATGAAGAAATTTGATATGTGGCATAAAGGTTTTATCCAGCCTAAACTATAAGTTGCAAACATTTTGTTGATCACTATACTTCTATTGACAGACCCAATGTCCAGCATTGATCCCAGATAATATATTTCCAGGATTCTGGGATCTATAAGTAATAACTTCACCGTTTCGGCTCTAGGTTCACATGTCATGTCACATGATCACTTCCCGGTTCATGTCAAAAAAATGAAAGGAGACAGCACTAGATAGCAGCTTGTCATCATGGAGATTCTTTCTTATGTACAAAAGACTTATATAATTTGCAGAATTAACTTTGTTGGTGCAAATGGGCCAACAGAAGAAAACCCAGACCCAATTTCTGCAGTAGCAAGTAAAGAAAGAGTAAGTTCTTTTTTTTAATTTTGTCGACCTGAACCGGAAAAGTGCTAAAACTTGACAGGATCATTTCTTCCATTTCTTATCCATCGTTCGGGATATGGAGATATCGACTCACCATTGCGAGTTCGTACAAATGATTATATCATGACCTTACAAGTATGTCCGAACTTTCGCGTTATGTTTACATTCCTGATCACGTGACATGACATGTGAACCCTAGAGCCAAAACGGTGAATTGCAAGGTGCCTGCAGGAAAAATGTAGTACCCTGTGTTCTCACACTCTAAATCATTCTAGTCAGGTAAATACTTCTCATTATACATAGCTACAGCCTTTTGCAAAAATTATGAGAATTGTCGAAATATCTAAATATCATAATATCGAGTGCATGATGGGTAATCCCGAGCGATGCCCTTAGTCCCTTGTCTTTGTAGTTTAGTTGTTTTTTTTGGCGACAGACTTATCTGTAGTTCTGAACATTTTCTCGATGTCAACAATGAATTATTCTAGCAAACCCGCGTGTTCCGGAAAATATATGGATATGGATATTATGATATTTACATATTTAGACAATTCTCATAATTTTTGCATAAGGCTGTATGTCTGAATAATATTGTAATATCTATATACAGGACTTAGGTTCTTCTCCAAGATAGGCTGGAGACCAACACAGCTGTCACCTAGTGCTTTTTGCTTTCACCAGATACCGTTGTTGTACTGGCTTGGCTGACAGTAGATCTCTAGCAGTGTCAATAGGAAACCAAGATCTTTTACGACCTTTAAAAAGAAAAAGAAAGATGATGTTTAGTTAGTTATAAAACTCCTTCACAATGTACACCAGTTGGTGAGTCTAGTGTGGTGTGAAAGAGCCTGCTTAGAAATTAAATGGGATAGTTATTGTTTCAAGAATTGAAATAAAGATAGCAATATTAGACTGCTCATTTGTTTCTGTCATTAACGGATATCCAAAAAAATGGTCTGTAGGCTGGTTCTCATATACAGTCTACAGACAAATCAAAGACAAAGGCAAACTAAGGAAACATTTAATCATAAACACTTTAGCAATAAAAACACTTCAATTAAATGAAAACACTCTATCTGTGAAATATTTCACAAATAACAAGATTTAATCTTGCTTTTGGTGGAAAAAATAATTGTAGTAGATGTCCTTCCAAACAATTAAACAAAACCTTACCTACAAAATAGAAGTTTAGTTCTAATGGAGCAATAAAACAAAAAACAAAAAAGGGTGAACTCTATTATGTTCTCGTTCTGTTTAATAATCAGCAGGCATACAACATTCTATTATATACAAACTTAGCCAATCATAGCCAGCATTGATAATTTTTTGTTTTCAATTTTTTGTGTAATTGTTATGACAGATTTGTTGTTCCACGAGTTGAGTCTAATGATTTTTTAACTGTTTACTTATCATGTTTATCACAAAAATCCTTCACATTCCTCCAAGGAGTAGTTCATCGAAAATGCCACAATGTTGCTGGTCTTTCAGATAGAATATGTTCCGTCGATAGAGGTCATTGACCTTGTGAAACACCTGTAATTTTGTATGCCACTATTACTATGACAATGTAATTTTGTATGTCACTATTATTATAATGACAAACTATTTGATGTATACTTTCACTTTCATTTGCAAACTATCTTCAATACTGGAGTCTAATATGGAATAATTGTAATTTTATTGCAAACAATTATGGACTGTAGATAAGAGATTAAGTGCCTTAATACATCATGATTTTTTTCAATTTAATAGCTATTTAAAGCTATAAAATGGTACAACAGAGTCTTATGTTCTTTATAACACTTCCCGGCTATTATTCGAATTATTTATGTTATATTGTTCAAATGGAAGATGAGCAACACCTATTTAACTTTAAAGCCAGTACAATAGGAAATATTTCCTTCTTTGTGTAATATTAAAAATGGGACCGCCTATAATAGTTCGAACCAGGGTGTCATTTGACAAATTCGCTTTAAATTACACGAAGTCCAAAGTACAAAACATGTACGATGCAATACTTTCATTAATTGGTACAGACGATAGCGTCAGAACAATTAGAGGCCTTAGGTCAAACTATTTCGGCCGGGTATGGCATTGAAATCACAGCATTTCACTTAGATAACGAAAAACAACTGTTCTCAAATTCGGTTTTAAGTCCATGTCGAAATAATTCTAATGAAAGCCACTGCGAAATATAAGTCTTTCGAGGAACTATGAATTCGTTTGGAGACAAAAATATGAATGCTGCGAATGTACATGGTGTCCAGAGTGAAATTACCTTTTCTAGATTCTTCCCAAGTCTCYAGTTCATCAGTTACGACAAGAACAAAAACCCAAGTCTTTGTGCGGCTGAGATCGTTCTGTAAATAAACAAAGAAATTAAAACGAAAGAAATTACATAAYTTAAGCCTAAACTTAGCTATGCGTCCAGCTTTAATTTGTTTGTAAGCAAATTTCCAATGCTTATTAACTTCTTACTTGAAAAATCCCTAGAAACCTTCCAAGTTTGCCCATGACACCAGCCTAGGAAAAGCAGAATTTAGATAAGTCAACAAACATGGCACATCGACCCATGAGCCACGACATATCAATGAACGTAAACTAAGCCCCAATTTTGGACAACGTGGTCCTTACTTCTTCTTGTACTTCTCGTGTGGCAGTCTCATGAGGYTCCTCTCCGTTCTCTATCCCTCCAGCTGGAACTACCCATTTATCTGGCTTTCTCAAACTCGACACTAGAAGAACCTAAATAGACAAACAACGAGAATTAGAAAAAAAGAGAGTGAAAGCGTGGTAGTTTACATATGACGACACTCGCCTCTTGTTCATCTTCGTCTCGAAAGCAAAGACAGCCAGCTCTCAGGACGAAACCATCTTTATCGTACGTCCTGGATGTCTTTAGACTTTCGCTCCTATTTTTGATCATCACAATCTGTTTATGGCTGGAAGAAGAAAAGTTCAAAAGCACATCCTTTAATCCAAATGGAGGACTAATACAGCTGAATTGAACTCATTCGTCGCCATGACAGGTAAAAGCCGGCCACGACTGATTGGAATTATGGGATACTGGTCCGAAATATATGCACAACATATGCACGCGAATTTGTTTCAATTTTGGTTGAAATCCTTAAGTCATTTCTACCATGTGATTTCAAACATTTCGCCACGAATATCCCAAAAGAAAGTTCTTTTATAACCTTACCGGTGAATCTATTTTCTGCTGATGGTATTGGCAGCAYCATGTTTATATACCCAGACCACRGTATTACCCTGGGTTTTTCCCTGGAGGTTGAAATTTACCCTTTCATGACCTTGGCGTAGTTCATTCACGACACAAGTGCTGTTGATTTTGAGACTGCAAAGGCCGAACCGGCCTCAAAATTAGCTATGGGAAAGGGCAAATAATTTCAACCTCTGGTACCCAGGGTATAACTTGTTACGCAATGCGGCTATTTTGAAATGGATTCTATTCAGTTGTCTTTTTTGGGATTCACCAACCACCAGTACAAAGTCTCAAGTGCGTCTTATTCCTCAATGGCGTGATGCCGGTATACTTTTCGTGTGTGACGTTTCAAGATCACACTGTGTTTAGGGGATTTGACCATCCAAAAAACTTTACTTTCAATGGCTTACCAAGAAATAAAGAGCCTGAGCCTGGCTCTGGAACATGCCGTATTTTTGTTGCATACAAACAGGCAAAAAAACAAGCAAACAAACCAAAATGATTATAAAAAAGAAAAAAAAGAAGCAAAGAAAAACGTGACAATGACTCTGAAGCCAAGGTAGTATTGAGCAGATCAAGGTGCGCTATACCATATAAAAAGCCATGGCAGTACTTTAGGTGCCGTAAATACAATATGAAACGGTAWGTCCCTCTAAGCCCTCTGGATATCCTGGGTACAGATGCGATTTCATTTATAATGGAGGCGACATGGTTTAGGTAAGCTAACTTGACCATGCTTTTATGATGAATCTTACTAATGATCGAAAATCGAAATAGAGTAAAATAGCTGAGGCGTCGAATCGATTTACATTCCGGTTAGAGATTTCGCGTTCCATGCTATCCCGATAATTGGTCCTAACTTCGCGCTACTCTAAAAAGCCAGTGAAGGAGAAGCTATCCGGCCCCTAGACACTGATAGATAACCCCTTGCACTAACTAGGCAACTATCGAAAGTATAATGTCATTGGGATAGTCTATTCGGCCAAAGTGTCAAGTGGTCTAGTTGCGTAACTCGCKGGTGCATCAGAGACCTTAATTGAGCGGGAGCCGATCGTCGCGCAAGTCAGTGACAAGAAACCAATGGTGTTTGAAATAGAACGTTATAATATGAATCGACATCTTTTTTTAGATCGCTAATAAAGTTATGAAAGGTTTTTTCTTACTAAGATACTATTTTGGGGATTTTTCTTGTACATTTTAAAACTCCCGCTCACACAATTTGTGCATGAAAGACCTTAATTGAACGGGAGCCGATCATCACGCTAAGTGCGACAAGAAACCAAAGATGCCCGAAATAGAACGTTATAATATGAATCGACATCTTTTTTGGATTGCTAATAAGAGGGTCTCAATGGGGTTAACCGTGAGCTGTGAAAGACGTGAAACGGCTGAAAAATTAGCCGTTTGGCGTGAAAAAGCCAAATGTTTAGGCGTGAGTCGTGCAGTACGGAAAGCTGCAAGGCTTCCTCACTCCTGTGAATTTCGACAGTTCGATGCGAGCTTAATATTACAACTTCAATTTCAATTTTCAATTTATTACTATATATTCTTATATATTAGATACATTTACTTAAGCGAAGCAACAAAGTCTGTATTATTTTCATATTATACACTTTGAATAGAGGAAAAATTTGAGGACGGTGAGAAGCTTGTAACAAAATTGAGTGGGTTTCCTGTGTCTTCCAGTACATTTTAATATTATTCATATATATGCTATTAAAATTACTGATAAAAAACACATTTATCAAAAATTTGTCATTTTTAAAACAGGCACAGCGTTACTATGGTAACAATCTGTTTTCATTTTTGACTTGGATCAGATAACTTTGGAAAACAGGAGAATAGCAGAAATATGCAACAACATCTTCCTTGAACTTCATGTTTCTATCATTTGYGGATGGCATTTTGCAGGGTAAAAGATTTATCTTGATGCTAACTTGATTAATCMATCATCATGATCATATGATGCGGATTGAAGTGTTCTCTTTTACTGAATGACCAATCAGGAGGAAGAATAAAGTCATGTGACACAGTGTGACGTCAGGCCTAAGACAAGATAGAAACAACGAGCTGTGTCCTGTGACATGAATTAATTTTTGACAAAAAATATTKGACAAAAACAGACTGAAATGCCCATYATTCCTGAAACTTTATGGGTAGTTTATGCAATAAATAACAATCGACCGTGAGATTGAGTAATACTCGTTGAAAAAAGTAGATAAASTAGTGACATCGCCTTGCTTTCAGCCGATAAAAATGGCGGAGCAAAGTGCTGGTGTGCCAACGGCTAATTTTACTCCCCTGGAGCCATTCGTTCATCAAGTTGGAGGCCATTCTACAATGATGAAGTTTGATGATGTATCGGTGTGCAAGCCTTTCGTTGTGAGGGAACATCGATTTTATGAGGATCTGCCTTCAGAGATGAAAGCTTTTACACCAGAGTACAGAGGTAAGCTTCTTGGCGGGACTCGACGGATACGAACAGATTATAAACTTCTTTGTTTGCTAGATGGCTTTGTATTTCGTTTGCCGTTAAGCCGATCAAAAATATTTTTTGACATCAAGGAGCAATTTCCTTTTATCTCACTCTAACTAAACAAGGATTCTTTTAGGATCTTGCCATGTTTTAGTACTATGATGATAAATAAACGCATATTTTGGTTCAGTCGATCGTCATAAAACTTGTATTGCAAAGTGTGAATTTGTCCAGCAATATATATATTTTTTTCATTAAAAAGGTCTGTGTATATCCTTTCAGACTGATAGCTAATAGCTAGATGCTATTTGATATCATTGTTATTCATATCTAGCCAGAATTTTGATATCAGATCGTAACTGGAAATGTTGCCATTCATCAATGTAGCAAAACATGCTTCGCTGCAGATCATTTCTCAAACTTTCTCTTGTGTACCCATTATGTTGTCACCGAACCGTGGATTTACTGTACAATAAATTATTTTGTATTATTTTGTACAAATATAGAGCAAAAACAACTTTAAGGTACAATACTTGTTGTAACTTGGTGAAAAGCAATATAATGGTGAAAGATTGACTAGTTGACTAGATTTTGACTCAGCAGCATTAAAGTCATACATTTGCACGAGTGAGTTAAGGAGAGTGCACACATAAATCAGTTGGTCTTCGCTAGAAGAACTCAGACGGAGTAAGAGGAAAATGAGAAATGAAAAAAGCGTATCTTCCATTTTGTTTCCTCTATTGCCACTATCTCTGCTAAAGTTCCCTTTTGTCAGTGGTCAAAATATCTCTTTTTTGAGCTTGCCTATTAAGTTRATTTCATCCTTGCATTTGTAAAGATATTTTTCCTCTATGGATGTTTTTTTTTTCTCAAATAACCCATATCCAGGTTAATTGATATTTTGCCCAGTCTTAACCTGTGTTTATTTTATCTCAGGTTTGTCATTATTCAGTTATTTGATAATGTTCCAGACCAGGTCAAGATAAAGTTTCCAAAATTAATGACCTCTTATTCCCTGTGTATTTGTTTAGTAAAGTGCAGCAAACTGTTGATAGAAATCATTGATGTTAGATAGCATTCTCTGTTGTCTCATATTACATATTCTTGTCACTATAGTGCAATATACTTTTGCATTTTTTTTGTTTTTAAAAATATATAATATATATTGGTGAGATGGTAACATTTGATGTAATGCCAAGCATACAGTATCTATAAGGTTGTTGATTATCAATAATCCATTAGCAATTATTATTTTTCTCTGAAAACTATGATTTTATTAGTTCATAACTCATGTATATTCAACTATAAATGTTCTTAATATTTTTAAAAGTTTTATTTTTATCATCCATATTTATCTTAGTTGTGGTTTTTCTATGGAAAATATTGATTACATAGGTTACTGTAGGTGTCATTAAAAAACCAAAGGTTTTGGAAATGAATAAGTAATGTCTAACAATAATCCCTCAATTATATTCGCTATGAAAAGATATAATATAGCTTATTTCATCTGCAAACTTACTTCTTGACCTTATTAATCAAGGGTTTTGAAATAAATTTTAATGGCAATGATTTGATTTTGTCAAAGAGCTAMAGAAACTATTCCAAAAACTGTTCACAGATAATYKTAASAGGAGAATAGCAGAAATATGCAACAACATGTCTCTAARACKGCCAGTCTAATTGGGTCTCGATTCATACCCATTGGCACAATACCAAAAACCTATGCTGAAGGTAGCCCAAAGACYSAGTTAATAARKTKKTTTTCTCTCTCTAGGTGTTGTGTATGTAAGCTTTGAAGAAGATGACGAAGGCTTCATTTATACCATTGCACATCCAGATAAAAGGGCACTAGAAAACCAGGCAGTCAATTCGAGTCGCAATAACTCATCTGACAGTGACAGTAGTGAAGACAATGATATTGGAACTAACACTTCACCCAGCAGGCGTAGATCATTCCGAGCAAGTCATATTGAGAGTGTACAGAAAAGGCCACATAGGTATATCTTTTATTTGTTTCATTTGTTGGAWCTCACATGTGTTGAATTCATTGCTCATTGCTCCTCTTTGAAAACTCTTGAAATCACATCCTAAAATAATTACTTTTAATAATAATATTTACCCAAAAAGTAGACTTGTAATATATTTAAAATCCAAGGAGACATAACAAAGTATTTTCAATTGGCATATCATCTAATATAGTTGTTCACTTTTGACCTTTAGTTAAGATAATGTTGGTTTCTGATTACAGTGTCATGTCTATTGCATGACATTGCTCCTTTACAATCAAAATCAGTAAAGTATATTTATTTCAAAAACATAAACATAGACATTTAAGGTCTTTGGCACAAAGTTATGTAAGTTATGTGGTGTACGCAGTGAGGTTCATGGAGGAATGTTACTCTTACTATCGTAATGGAACCATAATTCATTATCCATCAAAAAGTCGAGAAATAGTTTGACTCTCTGCAAACCCATCACACATTTCACTGTAATATATAACATAATATAGCAGTGAATGTGTTTTGCACTTTTCATGACTTTAAAAGATTTTTAAAGCCAAGGCCTTGCTCAACATTCCTCACTGTCTACATCAAATAACTTCTTGTTCCAGGAATGTTAAGCTTGTGTTTTTGAATTCAATAACACATTCYGCTGGTTTTAATAGTATTGACGTTACTAAGTAATATAAAAGGTAATAATTGTTTTATTTGGAGAAATGTTGACRGGAGGTTTTATGAATATAATAGCTCTCAGTACTTATAGTCTATATGAGGGTGCATTGTGGATATTAAWTTCCACTGAAAAAGAGACTGCTTGTTTCCAGGAAGACTCAAAACAGCTCAGGAATTAAACTTTAACACAGCTGGGTTATTCAGTTATTGAGAATACCATTTTTCAATCAACAGAGTTCGATTAAGGAGTGGAAAAATTGAATTGGTAGACACACGTAAAGACAGAGTATTTGCAGCTGATGAAATGACTGAACAAACTCGTAAGTACCCAATAAACAACTTGACAATTAAAATTCTTTACCACTGATGTTATGGTAAAACTAATYTGATATTAACTGAACCAGTGTAAACAGGCTGTAAAATGTAACCAAATATGCTGTGACGCATACGTCACTTGTTCTATCTTTTGCTTCTTCCAGGCTGCCTGGTTTGCCTGGGCAGTGTTTGATTATGGATGAGCCAACAAGAAAAACGCTCTTCATAAGGTTATAATGTTATGCTTTAACCTTTGATGATTGAACTCATAAAGTAATGTTAAACCTGCGGTAGCTTAATTTACACATCATTAGGTGTCTCACAGTAATAAGGTTATTTCTAGCTGACAGCATGTAGTAATAGAGCTTGCCATAATATTGTGAAACGACACTGACTGAATCCCAGAATTAGTAAAATATAAGTTTGTAAAGGTTATAACAAATGACTAGTGTAAACCAATGAACCAATGAGGATTGTGGAAAAATGTTGAAAAAAAGTTGATTGTTGTGACATGAAATGCTTTGTAACCAATGATATTGTACAACTTTGGTGCAGTGCGTAGGACATGTTTAATCATGGACTATGTTGCTCTTTCGCTATCCATGGCATTTTCACACTCATGTCATGYAACATTAAAACAATTTAGCAGCGCACATTTCATTCCATTTGTAAAATTGATGGTAAGTGCATTATGTCTTTGTATCTCAGACTGAAACAACATGCAACTGACTCTAATATGATCACAGCCTGCAGTAGTAGCCAGTGTACTGTTCCCATTCAGCTTGATATAAATGAACCTGCTGCTATGCAGGGACTAAGATATTATACACCTAACATAACATGTTTGTATGTTTGCAGAAAGTGAAGTGAATCCATGGAGTCTGCATCTTCACAAGCAACAATTATCAAAACTAAATAAAACAGCAAAAATACAAAGTATCCTTGAAACATTTCATATTCATTCAAATCATGATATTTTCAGATGGTAATTCCAGTTATGTTGAGACTATGTTGGAACAACTTGCATCTAAGAAACTTTATTTCTTTTGTTTTACAAATGAAAGGTGCTTTCTGATTCATGGTTWAAAATCGAAAATGCTGAATTTTTATGTGAGAAAATGGCACAAATTAAGTTCTTGGATGAATGTGGGACTTTTATGGTATAAAATTACTAATGAATTGCATTGATTATTAGTTGTGTTGTTTCTTTAACAATATTGTAGAATTTATTGTTCTYGAAAATGTAGCATATCAATTTACTTATCCTTGTATATTGGACCTGAAAATGGGGACAAGACAACATGGCGATGACACACCTAACGATAAACGAGCCAAGATTATGGCTAAAGTTGAGTCTTCAACCTCRAAAACTCTAGGTGTCAGAGCTTGTGGGCAGCAGGTATAAAATCCAACACATTTTTYRTGTTCTTTTTTRAYAGCATTGGATTYGTAGGAGGGATGGCAGGGTAACTTTATCACAATGCTTTCCTCAGTTATGAGGTTGAGTTTCCTTTTTTAGTGCATATAAGCACAGATTATATAGAATKTTTCCTCCACTCACTTAATTAATTGATTCTTCAGGTATATCAGCAAGATTCAGGGAGATTCATATGTAAAAATAAGTATTATGGTTTGAAACTCTCAGAAGAAGGCTTCAAAAGAGAACTTACTACATTTCTACATAATGGACAAAGACTTAGAATTGAGCTCATTGAGCCATTCATTCATAAACTMCGCAAATTATACAGAGTTATAGAGAAATTGAACTCTTACAGATTTTTCTCCAGTTCGCTATTGCTGTTATATGAAGGCAAAGAGCTGGAATCAGGTCATTGGATGCGTCAAGATAGTGAATGCAACTCATCCATGGATTCATCTGATGGTCTCATGCCCAGGAATTCTTCATCTGCAAGTCTTAAAGGATCAAGGCGTGCTAAGGTTGAAGTACGGATGATAGACTTTGCACATACTTCATACAGTGGRTGTCCGCAGGATAAAGTACGGTCAGGACCTGATACAGGTTACTTGTTTGGTATCGAGAATGTTATCAGACTACTGGAAGAAATCCATAAGAACGCAATAACAGAGGAAGAGCAAGAATGCATTGATGACTCAATCTTCAATGAACTTCATCAGTGATGACCTAATATGGTTCATTTGTGGTTTGTCAATTTGTTAGGAATTCAAATTGAACATTATTTCCTTGCTTCTGATTCAAGTTTACCCATATAAGATTCCATACTGTCAAAATAGTATGAATAATAACATTGTCACCTAGCAGATGAAGTGACTTTTAAGACTCAAGTCATCTTTCATAAAGCAACTCACATAACCTATTTAAATGATCCAACACAAATGACTAGATTCTTGACCATGGAATTGATACCTTTCTGGTTAAAAAAGAACAAAAATACAAACAGCTAAAACTAAAACGTTAGAATGAGTTACAGGTATCCAAATGTTATATTATTGAGACAAGCTGGAGCCTTTGCTGGCTCAAAGGGCTGCAAGCAAAAGGTCAAAATATAACATTCTGGCATAAAAAAGGCCAAAATAAATGTGAATATTTACCAGTCAAAACTCTTCTTGTATTAAAAAGAGCCAGAGTGGGTACATCATACAAGTCTATACTTCAGCCCACCATGGTTTAGGCTGTACCAACCAAAATACCTAGAAATCCCTTGGTCAATTCTGAGCACTAACTGTGCACAACTCGGTGTGCATGTATGCCATGTATGTAGGCAAATCATGTAATAATGTAACATGCAAACATGGTTACTCAATTATATCAGCATACAAGATGCATAGCCTTCTCCTTATAGTGAAATCCACTAAAYTTACAAGATTTCCAATTTTTCTAAGTGAAAAAAATACAAAAATAGCTATACAACTCTTGAAATGTATGAAAGTGATTCTCAAAATGTTCTAATTCAATTCTCTAAATRTTCTATTTTGTAAAGGAAAATCAAATATTTATTTAATGAATGCAGAGAATTTGTTTTTAACTACATAAAATGTTACATGTAATATTTTAAAGTATGCAAAACGCAAATACTTCAGAGAAATATGTAAAAGGCATGCCTAATCTGAATGGTTTTTTTTAACTGTTAGGTTACAGCTGTCCATTTGATGAAGAGAGTTACAATCAGATTATGGAGTAAGGCGTGTTAAGTATTAGGGGGGAAGGTTWTATCRGCAATGGGGTTCTCTGTGACAGRGGATGTTTGCTGCTGGAGATTAGACTCGATTCCCTTGAATAAAYYGCCTTACTCCAAATTTAATGTAAAGATTACACAAAATATTGYTTAGAAAAATTGTTGCGATCATTTGTAGGTCTACTCTACACTGAATAAGTCGTGCACTGCAATACCCTCATTAGAGGGCATTKCAAGCATAGCCAAAGAAAAAAATAATGTTCTGTAGTCAGTATTAAATGACATTGAAGATTTTAGTTCRCATAGTTTATGTCAATATACTCATCATGTTCAGATTAGTGTACATAGGTCATAATTATTTCCCTTATAGCAAAGTCTTTCTGAAGATGGAATTTTATTATTTAACGTATTATTGCTCTAAATAAACAAGTTCAAAGATGTATATTTGCAAGAGTTCTGACTAGTCATTACAAATGAGGCACTACTGTGTGGGAAATACCCCTAGGCRTACTTGACGACTGTGCACATGCTCTTAAGTAATTTCTGAGCCTATCCCACATGCTTCTTCAGTCCTCTTGTGTTGTAACTCCATCATTAGTTGCATGTTCATATTATTCTTATTGCACCCTGATTTTCGCATCTCTATTATTTCAGTCTTGCATCGTGTTTTTTGGCGACTTGATAAAAGTCTTATGATATTCWAGGGCGGTCAGAAAAGACACAAGTAAAATAAAGATTTGTAATCTTTATTTMAAAATCATCCATACAATCCTATTTAATCAACTAAATTGTAAATTTTACAAGAACTGTGGCTTGGCAATCTGCCTCCTAGTTTTCACTACACTCCTCTCRGACACAAACACAATATTTATTATTGAAACCTCAGTTWAATGGTAGYCACAGAACATTCAAAACACAAAACATATTCAGGACTTCAATTTTTCCTGAAAGTGAAAGAGTGTTGAAGCGTCTAGATTCTCTTTCTTTGATAAAGCTTCAACCAACAGCTTGGCAACCTGTAAAGAATGATAAATCARTGAWRAACTAGCAAATGCAAAATTATTTATTCTATTCTTGCATAGTGAACGCAATTGAGTGTTGGGTTGTACACGAGGAAGATTCCAATTTTGTCAAATTAGTCGTAAGAGGGATTGTTTAYRCGAAAGTRAGCGRGTGATAACATCCACGAGTTAACTGGSAGRAAACAGTMCCTAWYRTTTACCTGAAAGTTGGTCACYAASGGAACTCCTGTGTCGATTGCAGTTCTCCTTATAATGTAGTTGTCTTTCACGTATTTTGTATTGTGATTTGGTAAGTTGATTACCATGTCAATTTTCTTATCAAAAATCAGTTTTTGTGCGTTAGGGTTATTTCCTTCATCATGTAGCGGCCATTCCACTGTCTGTGCTGGGATATTGTGTTCGTTTAGATAGCGGGCAGTAGCTACTGTAGCGTAAAGAGTAAAACCAAGATTGTGAAGTCTCTTTGCGGTGGGTAGAAATTCAGGCTGGAATGATTGCTGTAAGTGGAATGAATACACTGAAATTAGTCCTAACTGAGCAACGCCAACACCAACAACAACAGCAGCAACAACAAAAACACCAACTACAACAGCAACAAAAACAGTGGCTGGATAATTACCTGAATACCAATTAAGATGTTTTTATTTGGAAGACGAAATCCTGCTGACATGATCGCTTTGAGAAAAGCTGAATGCAAATCCTTTCCATAACACGCTACCTACAAGTCGAACACAAACACAGGTTCAATCGCAACAACTGAGAGTTTTACTTGCATTTGTAATTTCTATCAAAAACATGGAAACGGCATAAATTACAAGCTATTACCTCTCCAGTTGAAGCCATTTCGCATCGCAGAAGAGGATCAGCGTCACGAAGTCTTGGCCAGGAAAACATGGGTGCCTATAAATTGAGAAGGCATTCAGTAGTGAATTACATAACTGCAAGCCAGATACAGCAATATTTAGAGCTTAAGATCCACAAAAACGCATACTTCAGAGCAAAAGACCTAGAAAAAGCGCACCGATGGACTATCGCCAGAACGAAGAGCTGTTCTAGAATTAACATTAGAAGTCATTATGATCGTGGTTTGGTATAAGTTGCTTTCTACCTTTATTCCTACATATCCTTCAGGTTTGAGGGGCGTGTCAAGGTGTGGTAGYTCATCCTCGTTCATTGGATGATCAATCATGACTTTGGTCGCACAGTCGATAAAATCTACACCGATTGTCTTGGATACAAATGGGAATGAACGAGATGCACGTAGATTACACTCAATGACCTACCAAGACAAACAAACAAAAACAATTAGTATCAAAAAACTTAGAATACCTCTGTTTAATAAATACTTAGGAAAACGGCTTTTAGAGCCGCTCGCACTGCTTATCTGTCTCGCCACAGTTTTCTTAATTTAGAGGATGATTTTTCCTGATTTAGGACACAACGCGGTCCTTCGTCCTTACCATCACTCTGTCGTCTTTAACAAGAAGCTGCATATTGAAGGGTCCTGAAATGTTAAATCGTCGTGCAATTTGTTGCGTAATGTCTTTGATCTGTCAGAAACGGTAAGCAAATAAATAAAATAAATCAATTTTGACATTATTTTCAAGTTGAGATGAGGACAGAAAGGGAAAAAATATCACATTACTTGGAAATGAGTGCATTTCATATCTACCTTCTGAATAGTTTCTTGTTTGACACTCTGTGGTGGCAATATCAGTGTTGCGTCACCAGAATGAACTCCTGCGTTTTCCACATGTTCRGAAATTGCGTGACAGATAACGTGACCGTTCTTTGCTACTGCATCCATTTCGATTTCTCTGGCACCAAGAATGAATTTGGTCATAACGACTGGGTGTTCCTTCAAAACATTCATGCAATTGAGAGATTTAGATATTGCTTTGTTAGTGATTAAATCCTGTTACACCTTCACTGCACAGACTCATTACAGTCCCGGTAAATACTAGCCTGTTACACCTTCACTGCACAGACTCATTACAGTCCCGGTAAATACTAGCCAATCACAACCCTTGTCCTATGGAGTATCTCGAGGAGATGGAAAGTTCCGAATATCAATGTTAAATAGCTATTTTTTTTACATTTAACGCAGAAGATAATTCGATTTATAACATACAAGCATATAAAGTATTTAGTTGTGCCTTTAGGTCATACAATCTCCATGCATTTTATGATTTCAATATTCCACGGTTTTGTATCATACCTCTGAAACACGAGCTGCGTCTTGTAGAAATCCTTTTAACTCTTCTGGACCATAAGCAACATTCATGGCTGAACCACTGAAAAAAAATCAAAAAACCTGTGGGCGTGGTTCCCTTTATAAGGGTTATATAAGACGATCATACCTTAGTACGTAGGAAGGACGAAGTAAGCAGGGATAACCAACTGTTGCAGCGAATTCAAGAGCGTCGTTCTGTTACATAAAGTAGTTACATAGTTGATAAAGTGTTTGTAGTAACGAAGCAAAACTATAATAACAAACTAGCTAGTGTTACTTACGACAGAGTACAACGCTCGCCATGGTGCTTGGTCAACACCTAGCTCGTCGATTATAGCTGAGAATCGCGACCTAAAGCAAACATAACTATCTTTATAATGTAATTCTTAAGGTTTCTTTGTCTTATGGTCACTGGTGAGAGTAATATGTGCACCTTCAACAAACATTATTATTATCATTTCACTGAATAACTAACCTATCTTCAGCTGCATCAATGAGAAGAGGAGATGTACCCAAAATATTAACACCGTTTTTAAATAGCGGCAAAGAYAAGTTATTTGGAATCTGTCCCCCGACAGAAATGATGCTTGCTTCGCATTCCTGTTGAAATTTTAAGTTACAATATAGTTACTAGAGTGTAAAGCTTTAATTTGATCTATCCCTTCCATCCCAGTACATCTTTCCATTTTATTTCCGTCCAAAGTTCATACAATTTTGTGAAACTACATTTTTTCCCTTTTTCACAACTTCTCACTAAATGGAAAGTGGTGTGGATGGATTGCTCTTTCTAGTTTATACCTCTTGTTGGTAGATATCCAACACACGTTCAAGCGATAACTCTTCAAAATACAGTCTATCGCACTCATCGTAATCTGTGCTGACAGTCTCAGGGTTGTTGTTAACCACGACCTGCAAGAAAAAAAAAAAGAAATGAAAGAGAAAATAACAATGCGCACGGAATTGTTCCAAAAACAGTTCCTTACACAGTCGGTGGTTCTTGGTAACAACAAAAATTCATACACAGCAGATATTTTTTTATCATTTCACAATTGACTCACCGTGTTTTTACCGAGCTTTCTCAAAGTTCTGATACAAGACACTGCACACCAATCAAACTCGACACTGCTACCAATATGATAAGGACCACACCCAAGGACCATGATACCCTTATCGTTGAACTTCAAGTCGTGCTCTCCGCCATTGTAAGTCATGTAAAGGTAGTTAGTTTTGGCTGGATACTCTGCCGCCATAGTGTCGATCTGAAACATTTTAAAATGTCAGATTGAAGTTTGTGTTCCTTGCTTCGTACTGTTATTTTTTGAACTTTTGTTCTTGCCGTTGATCTTTTAGAATTAGTTTTTCTCGTTCATTTTCGTACCTGCTTGACCCAAGGCTTCAATCCCTGTTGGATCCTGTTTTGCCTGACGCTCAGTTCATCAGTTCCCATTAAGTGACTCAACTGTCGATCCGAAAACCCCATCTTCTTTGCTAGAGTTAGCGTTTCGAGAGGGAGTTCATCTCTAGTATCAAGAGGATTCAAACATTACGACCATTCTATAATCATTATTAACGCTGACTCGTTGCACTGAAATGACTTACATCTTAAGCTTGCTGACATCCTTACTAAGTTGCATGATATCTTTGAGCTTATACAAGAACCACGGGTCAATATTGCTAAGTTCATGAACTCTTTCCACAGTATATCCATCCTCAAACGCCTAAAAAGATGAACTGAAATAAGACCTCGACGTTTTCAAAGGATTTGTTTTGTTGGGCGGGATTATTATTAAAATGCCCAGGAACAGGTGCGTACCTTAGCTAAAGAGTACAGGCGTGTATTTGATGGAACGCGCAGACTTTCATCAAACTTTTCCCCGTCCGGAAGCTCCTTGTTTGCGCTTGGTATCTGTAAAAACGATTTAACATCTTRATATTATCTAACAATCTCAATATTATCATCAGCGATGCTGAGAGGGTGAATACTTACCGAGGACTGAAGTCCATTGACTGAGGGATGTACCATCCTCAGAGCTTTCTGAAGACTTTCTTCAAAAGATCTTCCTATAGCCATAACCTACAAAGAAGCGGAAAKAGAATTGAATTTACGTCTCCTGCATTAATTTCTTTCTTCATTTAACATTGACATTCACTCAATGGGTCCAGTTACAAAATATTGAGAAATTTAAGGTTGAAGACGGCCTAGACTCACCTCTCCAACACTCTTCATCGAGCTACCGATTTCTTTAGGAGTCATGTGGAACCTGTCTAGATCCCATCTCGGAATCTATTGTATGAACAACAGCAACAACTATTATTGGTCAGCAGAACATCGACATGGGAAGAGGTCGGGTGGACKTGGAGTCGTAAAAAAGCAATGCTGCATGCATGCATTAGTGCAATATGTAATTAATTATACATTATTATTTTTATATAATATCCATTAGTACCTTGGTAACAATGTAATCCAAACTGGGTTCAAAACATGCTGTCGTTACGGTGGTTGTAGCATTGGTTATTTTAGGCAATTCAATGCCGAGGGACAGTTTGGCAGCGATAAAAGCCAATGGATAGCTAAAAGAGGAGAAAGCTCGTGTTATTATTATACGATTGATGGGATGTGCATATTATCACTTAAATTATCAGCAAGTAAAAATGTTTTCATCTTTGAAGACATTATTTCGTAGTGCGAACGGTTTAAATTAAATTGTATAGTGATAATCGTAGGAATTCTCTGGTTATGTTCACAGTATATTCTTCAAATGTCCAATTAACTGACCCTGTAGCCTTGGAAGCCAACGCCGAACTGCGTGAAAGTCTAGCGTTGATTTCAATGATGCAATACTCGAGTGAAGAGGGATGCAACGCGAACTGAATATTACATTCGCCTACAATACCGAAATGACGGACTACCTGAAAAGAAAGGTTGAAAACACAGTGTTATTAACTATAATTGCGAACAATTTTGTTCACGTGTATAAAAATTAAATTTTGCGCGCAGCCATGAAAATATAGTCAGAAAGTGAGCTAGCTTTTATAGAAAGACATGATTAATGGTGAATCACGTGATACCTTCAAGGAAGTCTCCCTAAGCATATGGTACTCTTTATTAGATAACGTTTGACTTGGTGCCACCACTACAGAGTCTCCTGTATGTACACCCAGGGGATCTAGATTTTCCATGTTGCACACTGTAACGCAGTTGTTGACTGAATCTCTCACCACTTCGTACTCCACCTCTTTCCAGCCTAACAACGACTTCTCCACCAAAACCTGATTGGTCATTGCAAACGCCTGAAAACAATCACGGTAAGCTTTGAACTTGTCCACAGCTTGTGCACAAGCATGCAGCTTTTTCAAAGAATAGTTTAACGCACTACAAATTTTTCTATAAACCGATATCTGTGTTAAGGGCTTGGATCATGGTTATACTAACTAAACGTAGGTCGTTGATGTTTGCTTACTCGTGTTGCAGTATCCTTGAGCTTTGATTCGTTTTCACATATGCCAGAGCCTAGTCCCCCTAGAGCATAGGCTGAGCGTAGCATTACTGGATATCCAATCTTCTTGGCAGCTTTCAAAGCTTCATCGACCTAGTACAAAATAGTATTAGGATATTTTTCTCAGAATTCTGTAGAACTACTATGTTCTTACATTGTAAACTGCAGTGCTTGGTGCAAGTTTTTCACCGATTTGTTTAAGTCCATCCGCAAAACTCTGTCTGTCCTCAGATGCCTTAATTGATTCAACTGGTGTCCCAAGAACCTGTGAGAAACAAAACAGGCTTGAAGTTCGGTGTTATATTTGTTTAATCGGCAGCAAGGCAGCAATCATTCCTTATTTTCTTCGTTAAATCATTGTTCGTCTATCAATATGACGTCATTCATCGTGCCAGTCTGTCAGCCAATCAGTTAGACAGCGATTAAAACCCAGGTAGGTTGGTCGGTCGGATCGGTACTTGTTAGTTAGGCAGGCTGTTAAATATAAATTGTAAAATACCTGGACACCATATTTTTTCAGAACGCCTTTATCGAACAATTCCACGCCGCAATTAAGAGCTGTTTGTCCACCCATAGACAGCAGTAATCCATCAGGCCGTTCTCTCTTTATCACATCTTCAATGAACTCTGGCGTCACCGGAACAAAGTACACAGTATCTGCCTTCACGTGAAAGTAATGAAAATATGCATGTGATAGAAGTAAGTAGTCCAGTTATCAATAAAATGAAAAAACATCACACAATTGTTCTTGAGACGAAAAGTACTGACAACAAATGATGTCCATTCCGAGTGGAAAAAAACTAACCTGTTTCTCACCAACTTCATTTGTCTGCACAGACGCAATATTGGGATTTATAAGTACTGTCTTGATGTTTTCTTCCTGTAAAATAGTACGTAAATACCAGTCATTTCCTGGAAATGGTCAGTAACTGATTTGGAAATTTTCATAATACCTTCAATGCTTTTACAGCTTGAGATCCAGAGTAATCGAATTCACCTGCCTGTCCGATCGATAATCCACCTGAACCCAGGACAAGGACTTTTTTGAACTAATAAAGTCACACATATAGGCATAAAATATCACAAAACAAAGAGAAATGGGATAAAAATGAGACGATACGGGTACAAATCCGCCGCCGACTAAGACGTGGCAACACACACACGTTGCGAGAAAAGAAACCTAACGAATCTAGACGAAACTGTCTCAAAACATAATATATATGATATTGTTGATTGACAGTYGATTCCAAGAATGGTTAACGTTATGGACATGGTGACTTACATTCTTTTTCTCGGGTTGGGGTATTGCACGGTTCAGTGCGTGAATTGGTGGCTTGTTATCGCTCACTATCTTCATAAACGCATCAAACAAATACTACAACAAAGAAATCAAGATTCTTCAGCACTAACAATTCTAAACACACTAAAAGAAATAAAAGAATACGTTCAATAATAGTAAAGACTACCTCGGAATCTGTTGGACCGCCAAAATGCTCAGGGTGGAACTGACAAGTGAAGATTTGTTTGGACTCGTTGATTAACCCCTGTGAAAAAAGCCACATCCAATGGTGATGATAAAATCATGATGATAATGATAATAAGGGGATTTTCCAGCAAAGTGATTCTGGTTTAAGGAGGAGGTGGAGGTCTGGGTTTAGAGAGTGCGATGGGGAGCGAGGGGTGGGGGAAATATAATGCAAACGAACCTCGTTACTTGAGTCATTAGGATTGTAAAACAAAGTTTTCCAGCCAGATGGTATAGTATCGGTATCAACAGCGTAACCATGGTTTTGTGAAGTGATCATAGCTTCGTTGTTTACTGTATTGATAACTGGTTGGTTATGTCCTCTGTAAACACAAACATTTGTTCATTACTCTACTGAATTCGTGAATTTATTCGACGCCTGTTTTCTGAACTACGAAACCGTTATACGTTGCGAAGCTCAAAAACTGCGTATTGCGAGCTCCAAACTGTCGCGRTAAGAATTACTGTAGCCTGAGTTAATAATCCAATGACAATTTGATTTTTACCTGTGACCCAATGGCAGTTTGAATGTTTTTGCTCCAGCAGCAAGAGCGACCAATTGGTTTCCCATACAAATACCAAACACTGGCTCACTTCGTTCCTTGAAGACCTAAAAAAAATTTATGATAGCAGCCTATATTAATACTTATACAGCGTATTACAAAATACTAAAACACACTATACTCAAAATACACTATTCTYAATACCGTTTGAAGGTTGTTGATTGCAGTAGTTGCMARTGCTGGATCGCCTGGTCCATTTGAGATRAAYAAACCRTCGTAGTCTAGTTTAGTAATGTCATAATCCCATGGTAGAAGATGCACCTCTGCACCACGCTAAATAACATCAAATACTATTAGAACATATAATACAGATGATAGAGTTATAGAGCACTAGAACAGGGCGTGGCAAATACCTGAACAAGATTTCTTATGATATTGTGTTTTATCCCGCAGTCAATGACAGCTATTTTGTAGGGGTTCCCTTTGCCATAAACTTCGATTTTCTTTGAAAACAAGAAAAAGAAATAGTTAACGAATAGGTAAGATAATGGGAAACGAAAAGAGAGACGTACCTCGGTTGAGACTTCAGCAACAAGATTACGAACATTAGGGTCCGATATCTCRATGGGTTGATCTTGGAACTCGATCTTAGCCAGTGTGTTTGACTAGTAATAGCATAAGAAAAACACTTTTAATCTTTTTTTCCTCACTACACATCTATATACATCTCACTACGTATCGTCATTTGCATGATTCAAAAATATTCCGATACAATTTGCAGTTATCACTTACGACTTCTATAAAAGCGAGGTGTTCAGCTTACCTGGTCTCGTACGACTTTTGTTAGCATCCGGGTATCAATACCRTACAGGGCCGGAATCTGAAAACAAGTACGTCAGTCAMCACCGCGTATGATCGGTATAACCATAAGACATCACATACAATAAAATACTAGTTAAATACCTTGTCTTCTTTTAACCATTCTGATAAAGACTTTACAGCATTCCAGTGACTGTAGCCATGRGTGTAGTCTTGAACAATGAGACCTGCCACCTAGCAGCACAGGGAGCCCACCATTAAATACATAAACAGATAAGAACACTAACAGTAGTTTGTTCAAGACTTACCTGTATTTTGGAAGATTCGACGTTTTTAAGCAGCCCATAAATGTCAACCTCTTTTGTATCTGGGACGCCATAATTACCGATTATAGGGTATGTAAGAACGAGGATTTGACCGTGGTAACTTGGATCACTCAAGGCTTCAGGATATCTAAAATCACATGCCAACGCATTTATTTGTAATTCTGTGCGCTCAAAGAAACCCAACCCTCCCCTCCTTGGACAAAATTCACTTCACAGGTATCTACTTTCAGTTTTGTTTTCTCTTGTATTTTTTGCTTAAAAAAAATCGCATTGATGCACAGAAGTCCGGACCTGTATAAAAGCTCCAAGGGCTCAATATTACTTACCCAACTAGGCCGGTGTTGAATACCACTTCACCACAGGATGATTTCTCGTAACCAAACGAAAATCCAGATAATCTGGTTCCATCTTGTAACTCAAGAGAAGCCTTTAAGGTCTTAAATGGAGAAAACGAAGAGGCTAATTTAAAAACTTTTTCTTGTCGATAAATATAGTGAAAAGAAAATCCACATCCTATAACCCCAGATACTTCTACAATTTGTTTACCGTACGAGTGATCTTCGTTTAATTTGTGAATATCAAGAGCATAGTGTTCTTTACGCATATACGCAAGTGCGTACTAAAGGCAAGGAAATATTACAATTTTCGGGATTTTTTTTATATAATTGTCTTTGCTTGGTTTCTCCAACCAAGGCGTCGTTGTCAAAAAGAACCTCAAAACACTGGAAATCGCATTTCCAAGAGTTATTATTTCAAAATTTCCTTGGGAGGCCCCTTCGGCGGTCGCTAGGCCCCCAATCCACAATATGTGTCGCGCTCAGGTCCTGTTCGCGTTCCATGACATGTGCGTACCAGACAAAAAGTCCACGCTACGCGCCTGGATATGGGTACATGTGACATAAATAGATCGAAGATGAAATCGATATTGCGTGGATATATAGATATAGCGTCTGCTTTCGTTCTTGCAATTTCGGAAAGGGGGTGTCTGACTTTATTAGAATGAAACTGTCACGTTTTGTTCTTTATAGTTCTTGCAATCATCTAAGAACGAATACATCCTGAACCCTATCAACCAAGTCATTCCGTACCACCAGGCAAAAAAAAAGAAAAAAGAAAGGTAAAAAACGAGATAAAAAAAATAAATAAAAATAATAACAAAACAAACCATAGTCTACTAACTATGAACAAACCAAATCAAAAAACAACAACACGTTTTAGCAACGACGCGATCCTTGTTACACAACGCCTCCGTTTCAAGTAGGAGACAGTGGGAGGGTAAGTATTTCATACTCTAATGAGTTCTAACTGATTTTGAATTTTTTATCGGAACAACAATTTTAAAAATCACTTAGTATTGTTTGAGGGGATTACTAGGGGATTATAAAATTTAGAAGTAGATATGGTACCCTCGTGTCACTTTGAACTTCAGAGCGGATGATTCTGACAAATTTGAATATTGAAGCATTTTTTTTGCTCCTTTATATAATAAAGCGACAAACTTTGCGTGTGAAATTATGAAAACACTCCATCACCTGCAGCCACGTAGCCCATACTTAACTTCCTTCATTGATTAATATTATACGTGTACTATCAAAATCATAAGTTATCAGTTTTATATAGCAAAGCTCTAGTAATCAGTTGTAAAAACAAATAGTACAGTTAAAGCCGGCAAAGCTATTACATAAGAATATTTTTCGAATTTGCTTTTTGTCGGATTTCAGCTTCTTAAGATCTAGAATTGTCACTTGACCTTTCTATAATTCTTAAACAATACATAATTAAACCAGGGCTCACAGAATGAACAAAACCCCTACCTTCCTTGGTTCATTTTGCTGTTTGTTGTTCACGGAAGACGAATGGAAAAATGCACAAGATGGTTTCTGGAAAGCGTACGTTCGGTTACCAAGAGAACGGTGAACTGAACGACCCAAAAAACTGGCAGCTTTCAGCAAAACTGTCATGTTTTACACGATGATGGCAGCTGTGATGATGATGAACTTCCTGGATGTTGAGTAAAGACGGTTAATACAGTTGAGTAAGCTGGCTAAGTTATTACACGTGTCCCAAGAAAATGAAATTTGTAAAATTCCTTGACAAAAGACTACAAAGCATAAAAAACATAATCATTAACTTATCTATTTGTCTGTATAAGAAATACACACATAACCTTAAAAAAACACTGCCAGAAGTGATAATCTTRAATCACCTTTTAATCTGCTCTAACGACACTTTCATCATCGAGACTTGAATCGATCATAACATTCAGGTCGGGTTGCGAGATTATTCACAACATCACTAGCCTGTAGCTTTTAGGGAGGGGTGGTACTGTACATATAGCAATGCAGCCTAAATTATCTACAAAGTACAAATGCACGTTTTTAGATACATTTGGATACTCTTCCCGAACTTGAACTATTCATGGCCTTCCGCAAAGAATGAATTTAGGTTTCTAACCTTTGCTGAGGCGAGGAAGAAGTGATAATTTTCTATTTGTTTTGTGTGGGGTGGAGTAGGTGGTGTGYGCGCTTGTATGATGAAATTATTGTTGGGGTGACGTGAGCCCGCGAGAGCAATTTTTTCCTCTTTGTTGATACAGTTAATGTTGGCTTTTCTGTCTACCGACAAATCAAAATATGCTATGCTCTGTGCTCGGCTATTTACTAAATCACAACATGATACTAATGATTCAGCGTGCTGCACTTTGACTTCCTGAATTGAACCAAAATAAAAAGAGCAATGTATACACGCAGAATACGTTCAACTCGTTTCAAGAATAATGGGCAGTGCTTCAAAGTTCTTGTCAATAACGCAAAACGGCTTGTTTCACAAGATGCAAAATCACCGAGTGAAACACCGAACCGACTTCACGACAACGAAACTGAAGGCACAAAAATTCAAACGATAAAGCTGTTTTCACATTCAAGAAATTCGCTTTTTAGAAATCAGGCGTCTAGAGATTTGAAAAGGTTTCTGGAGGAGGTAAGCTTGACTTAATATTATTAAGCTTAAGATTAATTGCTTTTTTACCGTTATTTTCATCATAGTTCTTAATRTTAACTGTGTTTTCATGGATCATGTACATCGATTAAACTTAAGCTAAAGGGGGAAAACAATTTTTCCTKTTCCCCAAAAAGCATGCAGATACCATTCATATAGCATTCTTCTTAACTTACATTTCAACAAAAACCGTTTTCTTTTTCATTGTTCTCAAGGTTGGAACAGATCCAAAAGAAGCTCGGTATTGGCTAAGACACTTTCAAGAACTTGAAATGAAAACAGAAAAACCATTTGCTGTTGTTCAGATAGATTCYAGTGTTTTCAATGACGAAAAAATGGTAGGCTGGCAAAAAGCATTGTCTTCGTTCATTATGAGGTATTGTTTCAGCAAAGAAAGTTATCCCTAAGAAAGTTTTAAGCATTAATTTTTTTTAGCTTGAAAGAGTGGCCTCAAGTTTGGCATTTTTATATCGTAATGGTATGGAAGCAGTAGTAATCCATGGAGTTCCTGGATCAAGTTATGGAATACTAGATAAGAAAACAAAGCATCAGTTAATAGAGGAAAATATCAAACTTGTTGACTTGCTTGAGAAGAATGATGTCCGCGCAAGACCTTTTCTCTGTTCAAGCCAYATGATATCTGTCCGAACAACAGCAAACAAGTAAGTTTTGGAGATGAGTTCCATATACTCAAGATACAATGCATAATATAGCATGAAASACCATGTTTACTTGAGGCAGATTCAGTGAGAGGTTACTGGGAGATGTGTATGCTATCCTGCAGGACAATGGACACACATAATTCAGCACATAATTGATAGCTTTCTGATAACAAACTTAGACCTGCCACTGTTTACAGCCACATATTTTAAATATTTTCATATTTTATGAAAATATAAATATATTCTGACTGGACTTCAAGATGCCAGTAAATATTTAAACAGTGTAATGCCATGCAAATAGACAAAGAGCCTAATAATCCTGAGTCAATCAATTCATTCAAATTCTCACCTTCAGCAATTGTCGTTTTTAGTTTAACAGACTTAGGGATTGACGATGCTGATGTCAAGTATATAAACTGGTGTTTAAGGTTAGCCAATGAAGAACAATAGGAACAGCCATTGTCTATTTCTGAACATCCTTTGTTGTGAATCTGGTCTGCTACTTATGCCTGGACTAATATCATGTACTTTTTCTGTAAAGTTCTGGTCACATTCCTGTAATGGCAGCAATAGGAGAGACAGAAGATGGTCAAGTTGTTTATACAGATGCAACTAGCACTACTGTGAAAATAGCAGGCATTCTGAAACCAACCAAAGTGATTTTTCTTAACACCACAGGGGCTCTGAAAGACAGCAAAGGAAAGGTAAATGATTCTATAAATGATTTCTACTCTAAAAGGTAATCTTACTAAATGCATAACTTTAGGTTATAGATTGTGTTAGTCTTCCTCAAGATGTTGATGCTGTTATACAAGAGCAATGGATGGATGAGTCATCATTGCACATGGTAACAGCCATATAGTTGATTAAATGTAACCTTTCATGGAAGTTCTTTTTAATATACTGCACCTCTTTACATCACTTCTTTTCAAAGACGTATACACTAAACTATTCATATACAGACGTATACACTAAACTATTCATTAACTTTGCTTCAGGTTAAATTAATAACTGATTTGATTCCTGAAATGCCTCCACACACTTCAGCAGTTATAACTAGTGCAGACAGCCTTATCAAAGAACTCTTCACACATTGCGGTAACCAGAATACTTGAAACTAGCTATTCAATTAAAACTTTTTTTTTTTAACTTTCTAATAATTGGTATTATCTTAATAATTGAAATTGATTCTACAACTGTTTATTGCAGGGTCTGGAACTCTTTTTCAGTCTGCTGAACCTATAAATGTTCATCATTCATTAGAGGGTGTTGATGAAGAGAAATTGTGGGAGCTCTTAGTTAAGTATGTGTTTCTTTTATATATCCTATATTACCAGTTGGTATATATGTTACAGTTGAATCCTTACAACACTTTTGTATATTTTTATATATCGTGTAGCATAACAAATTTCCAGGTCTGCTGTTTTTAATCCAGTAAAATTGACTATGAATTGCAGGTCATTTAACCAATCACTAGATAAAGACTACTTCTCAAGTCTGGGGAAAAACCTTCATAGTTTGTATATTACTGAAAGGTAATTTTACCACAAGATACTGTCAACGCTGARAATACAATTATTGATGGTGTGATTGATAGAGTTTGATCCATTGATTGATGCAGTAATTGACTGATGAAATGTGATTATCTGATTGAATGATATTATACATTATTTTTTAGCTATACTGCTGCAGCAATTATTGTAACACCAGAGGAAACCTGTGGTATCCCATACTTGGATAAGTTTAGCATTAGTAAACAAAGTCAAGGACTAGGCACCAGYAATTTACTGTGGGARAAAATCACACAGGACTTTCCCCARCTTTGTTGGAGATCAAGAGGAACCAATCGAATCAATCCATGGTAATCAAATTTCTTCAGAAGTAGCTTATTCTATTGTTGGATAGTACTGCTGTTTTGCATTTGAAAATCAAATTTTTCTCATCTTCCCATTCTCCCATTCATCCAATCAAAACAAATTTATCAAGAGCAATAAAAATATAACTTAAATAAATTAAAAGATAACATCTAAAAAAATTATTATTTCTTTTATCACCTTTTTAGGTATTTTGTGAGGTCGACTGGTAGTTGTCAAAAAGGAAATTGGACTGTATTTTGGTAAAATACTTATTTGATTTTGAAGAAGTCTATATCAATAACAAAATCTTATGTCATGAACAAATAATGTATCAATATTTCAATTTATTATTTAGGTATGGAATATCTGATCCACATATCACACATCAGATCACTCAGTATACCTGTAGTCTACCTTCATCTTTTGATCCCATTGCTCCTCGTAAGTATYTTGCTTTAATGTAATAGTGGAGCAAATATGCGTAGATGTTGGTYAAATTGTTCACTTTCATCCTAAAAATAAAAATGACACATTTCTTTGTTTCTTTCAGATGATGAACAAAGAAAAAAACGTATTTCTACAAGTGAATACCACAAGTATTTGTGACATTCTTCAATCCTGACATTATAAATTCTTCTTCATTGAAAAAAATTAAACCAGAGTTATGTTTTTAATAAAGTATTGCTTTTTACATAAGATGTTACGTCRTTTGTCCATAACAAATGGTTATAACGCACCCTGACTAGAAAAACGCTAAAGTGATACAAACACATTAGTGCATCGCTTTGCTCAAACTTCCTGGCTGCGATGACCTGGAATAGCTAGAATCATCCACAGCACAAAATTAGTGCTTCTGTTTGTCTGGTGGCCCTGAGAAGGCAGGCCACAGGGAATGTAAGGAATATTCTTTGCAAACTTTCAAAATTATCCCTTAAATGCTATTTCACTTTTAATCATGGGTCTGGAGAYATGATAAGATGGCGGATTGATTTTTATTTTTTGACCCCTAAAAGAGTACGAACCACTCCCCTCCCCGGCCCCCCTATCCCATCAAGGTCTGCAGCCTACAGAAATTAGTAACTTATTCCGATCTTACTTCTCTARTTTAGTGTTTATCAATATTGCTGTGCAAAAGAGAGACAGGAAGCTTTAACAAATAAATGAATATTAGTTAACTAAGKTATATTCGAACTGCCAAGAAAGAAAAGTGAGTCGACTGACCTTTCTTCAAACACTTTGCAACCAGCCTGATCTAACCGACGTCGATCTCTACCCATCATACATTTTATTTGATATTAGGTATATATTGCCAGTATTTGCCTAGCCTGCATTCTTGTTCTGCCCTCCTAAACATTCCAGGACCTTTCTGCGTCTGATAAACTTATGTATGGAATCATGAAGGTTACGGGCGGTGCGGGACGACGGACCAAGCGTCGACCAAGCGTTCTATATTAGCTCATCTTTGGGATTCCTGTGATAGTAAGGGCCTGGGGTCTTGTAGGAGATTGGCGCGAATATCAAGAAAAACAAAAATGGCGGTCGAAGTGGATTCTTCAACGGAGTCAAAAAGTCTTGTTACAGATGTCCTAGAGAAAGCAGGACAGTTAGAACAAGATGATTTCCATTCCTACGTGAAAAAAATGCTTCATAAAGCTGAAGAAGTGAAGGTAAGTCTTACTTTTTAATTAATAAAAATGCTAAAAATATTTGGTATTCGTACGTGTCTTGAAAAATAGTGAATTAAGTGATAATATTTTTTCTTGAATCCAACAACAAGTCTCTTTCCATTTTTAATTACAGGCAGAGGTYTTTAAAACTATTTACGAAGATTATTCGTTTGGCGAATTTCAAGACTTAAATTCAACAACTTGTCAGTTGAATTGGAAAGTGGAAACTTTAGTCAACGATATTAACAACACTTCCAAAAATATCAAGGTACGAGTAAAAATAACTAATCTTATGAAAAGTGGGTGTATTGATAGGGCTTTTAGGACCCAAGATGATTGTACGGAGGGCATCTTCGACCTCCATCCTCCCCCATCCCCCTCTTCCCCCCCTCCCTCCCCCATGTAATTCCATACAACTAATCCTGATTTATGGTATCATATTCATACATGCATTTTACCATATTAGGGTACAGTGTTTTCTAAACTTGATGTTGCCGCAACGGAACATTCTCATCTTRCTCAAGATCTTTGTCAAACAGAAGCTATTGGAAAAGTTTTAACCAGGCTTTGTAAGGTAATWGTTTCCCAGGCTGTGTTATCGACCAAAGTCTTACTCAAATCAAATTTAACGAAGATCATTGATGTAATTTTTTTAGATCCATGCTTCTCTAAATGCATTCCCATCAGAAATAGACAGTGAAGAATACTGCAAGGCTGCTAATATCATTGATTCTGTGGTATAAATATTGTCGCGTTTCTTCATATATGCTTTTCTTTTCTACTATTTTATCTTCTGTTTCGTGAATACATTTATCTCATTTGTTGTTGCAGAATGAAGATTTGTCTCTTCTTCCAAAGGCTGGTCAAGAAAGCAAGATATATATTGCCTTGAAGGTAAAAACTTTGGATGTCATAGCTAATTTGAATTTCTTTGGAACWCTAAAAATTGTGYCAGAGTGCTRTCATTTCAATATTTTATTAACTGAGAGTGAATACTTTGAACCAAGGTGAAAGCGATTGAGGTGATGTATAATTATCTAGGTGTGAGAAGTTTTGAAAAAAGATAATCTTCCTCGATACTTCTCTTATGTGGACAATCATGCAACACAGTTTATTAACTATTATTAGGAGGAATTAGGAAGACTACGTTCCCAGTTAATCAATAAACTAGAGGCAGTGTGGTTAAAAAGTATCTCATGGACTACTCCAGCTACAGCATCTCTTGATAGCATTCATTCACATTTGAAGACACAGCTATCTCTAAACACAGGTAATAAATAAATATAATAGTGATGGTACATGTAATAGCAATGATTACATGTACATACAATCTATGATTAATTTTTTTATGAATAATTCAGGACTCATTATGTTTTAAAAATATTTTCAGCTGAGTCAAACATGGATAATGTTCTTAATGCAATGCAGGTTAGTATCTCTGGAAACATAAAGTGAAACAAAATGCTAGTTTTGTTGTTGTTGTATGTCTTTCAGTTTGTTGTTTGGTTAATGTTCCCTGACTTGTCCATTATATTTAGCTTTGCAATATATTCTCATCTGAAAACATAGTGTTACATATTTCAGAGCTTAAACATACTTGAAAAAAGAGTCAAAATTTTTGGTAAGGCATCTTTTTGTTTGCAAAATACTGCAGTATATTTGAGATATATATTTTATACTATATTAGCAACTTTAATTTGTGACTAAATGTGGTGTCATTCCTTTTCCTAGGAAAAAAGCTTGTTCAGTTTTTCTTTAGACCTCTCCTTGTGTTTCCAAGGTAGGCAGATATTTTCTTTTGTAATCAGATTATCCTACTAATCATTCATTGAGTTTTTTGACAATCAGTGTATTTTGTTTCTTTTAGTTTAAAACCATCCATTGAGGTAAAGAAGCAGGTACATTTGCAGTGYTTTATAGTATTTTGTCAATGGCTCATTGATAATAATGACTTTATTACTCTGTTGGGTTTCCTATATCACTAAGCAAAGAAAACTAGTAAACTAGAGAAAAGTGTTGTATCCAATAAAGTCTGAATTCTTATCATTTATGTACAATTTAAGGCTTATCCTTTCTATCATTAGGCAGTCATTATTTCTATCAATAAAGAAGCTAACAGAGCCAAGGTCATTCACCCAGGTAATTTGCCATGAGTCCTTTTTCATATACATGTGAAAACCAAAAGCTATTTGTTTCCCTAGATTGCATCCCTCTTTAATTAAAGCTCCTTCATGCCTATAAATCATTAGCTCTAGGATAATTATTCATTGGTATTAATCCAATCAGTTATTTTTCCATTTTTTCATACATTCAAGTTTATCCAACAATACATAAATAAATTTGTTTTATTTCTTCACTAAATTGTATTTCCCTCCCTCCTTCCCTTCATCCATCCATTAAATCATCATTCCATCCATATATTATTCATTTATTCATTCAACAATTTCACTATTTTATTTAAGGAAAAGTGTATCCCAAGATACTTGAGATTTTAGATCAAGTTAAAAGTCAGTTTCCTGACCACTCCAATATCAAGTCTGAAAACCAAAAGAAACCAGTTGAACTGTTCTCATTGTTAGGTATATAATGATAYTTTTGATTGGTTACTGCTTTCCGTGCATAAATTACAGCTTTACAATGTATCATAGGAACAATTGTTTGGCCAGTTTTATCTGAAGACATYATTAAGGAATGTCTGGCAAAGTCAATTCCTAATACTAGCGCACAGGTTAGACAATCTTGCTTGTTTTGTAATATTTAGTTGAATGAATAACTTCTTGGTTAGGGGAGCGTTGCATGGTGGCGCTCAAGTCAATATCAATCAAATCAATAGACTGCAACTTGTGATAGCAGGGACTCCTTGTGTAGAGGCTGGACAAAGTTGATGCAATTGAATTGATAATAAAAAATGAGCTTACACTTGCAGCATTTTTTTTTATTCAACTCAGCTTGAAAAATATCAAGAAGTGATCACAAAYACTTTGGAATTTGAAGAAAAGCTTAAAGAATCAGGTTGGTGAATGTCATTCATTGTTTAGCATTAGTCTTAGTTTCCTTTTATCATTGTTATTATAATGATTATTATTGTATCTTTTTGATGCAGGATTTATTACAGAGTGTCCTTCATCTCTCACAAAGTATGTCAAGGACATTAGTATTCACTTTGGCAACAAGAAGGTCAGTCTACCTTGTGATAATTGAGCACATCATGTGTATGCTAACTTTGTTTTGTTAGTGACTATAGATGAAATAGAATTGATACTAATTGTATAAATAAATAAATAAATAGATTAATACCGGTAACTCTTTTATTTTGAGAGGGTAGCACGTAACAGTCTCTAGACTAGTAGACTAGTAAACTTGTGGCCCTCTGTATATTCACTCACACTCACTACCTTGACATTCATTATTTTACTACACAACACTCCTCACATTTAGTTTTTGATGGAGGGAGGAAAACCAGCGGACCTGGAGAAAAACCCTCGGAGCAAGGGAGAGAAACAGCTTACAAACTCAAATCACATATAGTCCTGGACCGGGATTCGAACCAGGACCACAGCGGTGATAGACYGGCGTTTTAACCGCTCGGCCATCCTTGCTCCCCTAAAAGACCATAAAGTAAATAAAATACATATAGAATTATTTGTTTATTATTTGTTATTTCTAGTGTCAAGATCTTCTTGTAGCTGCTCGTGACCTCATGAAAGATGACATTCACAATACAATAGTCATTGATAAGTTTTCTGATACTGCTACACTTTGTAGTCTTGGGAACCTGAAATCTGTTGTCAATGGAACCAGAAAGGTAATGGACACTCTCACAATAAAGAAGCAATGACTTAACATTTTAGGACCTTACAACAGCCTCCACATTCCAAACGGTCCCTCACACCAGAGAAGCACCTCAGATTTCAGTACCTGACACAAGAGGGACACTCTCATATTTCAGCCCTCATTTCAGCACACATCACTTTAGTGGGATATACCAGAACTTGCATAGAGCACCTCCACATTTCAGACCCTAACACTAGTTACCATGATTKTATGTTTAGGAGGAGAGTCAGTCCAACAAGATTAAATCAGACAAAGGATTGAGTCCTTTCACTTTCCAACTACCTAAATGCTGTATTAGTGAGAGTACAAAAAAGCTGGTGAATCTTGCTTATAACACACTACTCGAAGCAACTAAATCCCCTACACAGAGGTAACTAGAGATGACTCCTTACTAATTCTAAATAAAAGGACCTTCCTTATGAAAATTCTAGTGTTAAAATGATGCAGTTTGAAGCCATTCTAAGTTATTAATGCTAAGTGAAACTTTGTTATTCTTCCATTCCAGTGCTATCCAGTTGTTTTACACGGTCCGTAACATGTTTGAATTGTACTGTAATGTTGTTCCAACATATCATCAAGAGAGTTTGGTAAGTAGTTTTTACCGTCAGCTGAATAAAATTCACAACCAGAAACCAGTTAATATACCAGTCCTGGTTTATGTGCATACCAAGAAATATTTATCACAGTGAATAATTTTTCATCAATATTATTTGTTGTTCTGTTGTAGGCCACTCTTCCACAGCTTGCAGCATTGCATCATAACAATTGTATGTATATCTCTCATTTACTGCTAACCATGGGCCATCAGTTCAAATCTCACCTACCAGAACCATTAAACCAAGGAGCTGCAACATTTATTGACCTTGTACCTATAGTTAGAAGCCTTGGAGAAAACTGTCTTATTGATCAGCTAGTGAGTACATCAATATTTTATTGATTGCTTTTCACAATAGAAATACTTAATGTCATAAATTATTATGCTTCCAGAAAAGACAGCGATCTGCATTGCTCGATGTCATAAAGAATGCTGATGGTTTTGCTGACGCTCATGAAGATGARAGACGGGAAAAAATAGAACGTGCAATTAAACAGGTCATTGATTAATAGATGAATTAAAAAACTGTTGCATYCACATTGTATACATATCAGAGATATTTGAAGCATATTGTGGTCATTTTGCTGATGTAAATAAAAGTCTCTCATCATTATCTCGATTTAAATAACGTGTCATTCTTCTTGATCCAGGTTCTTCATCAACTACTTCATTTAAAGAAAATTTGGCTTGGTGTCTTACCTGAGAACTTGTTTCACCAGTCCCTTGGAGCCCTGCTTGATGCTGTTTTGGATAATATCATAAATCAAGTACTACACCTAGAGGTAAAACCTMACTACCTTTATTTGGTATTGAACACACAAGGTTGATCATTTCCAAATCAAAACTAGAACTAGTCCATGGTGTTTAAGAATTTATCTGATGTAGAACCAGGTCTATCATTTCCATGAACTGGAATCCCATCACCAAACTCATTTTGTGCATTAACCAAGCATACCCTTGTACAAATTAATGGTTTAACCAATGTTATTGTATAGGATATCTCATCAGAGGAAGCCAGTTGTCTCCATGCCACCCTATCTATTCTGGCAAAGAAATCACCTGAGATATTCCAGGAAAAAAGTGACAGCACTGTTGAAGAGAAAGATTTGGTGGCATACATACCACGCTGGTCCAAGTATAACCAAACTATAAACACATTAGAGGCTAGTCTGCAAGATATTTCTGATGGATGGGGTGATGGCAAGGGTCCTCTGTCTACAGATTTCACTGCTAGCGAGGTCAGAGGTTTAATAAGAGCATTATTTCAAAACACTGACAGAAGAGCTGCTGTTTTGGCTAAAATCAAAGCTGTTCAGTGATGATGCACTAGAATTTCAAAAATTTCAAACAAAAAACAAAGTAGTTTTAATTGACGTTTTCATTTAAAATCACAAACCAACTGTATAAATCATATTTACATTGCAAAGACATCAAGATAAACAAATATATAATTTTATTTGACTGTTAAAGTAACATGGTTACTCATGTTTCATTTTTTTTGTTGGCAAAAAAAAAGAGAAAACTAATGATTTAGATTATCATTTAGTTAAAATGAAAATCACTCATCATATTAGTATCACTTATTCCAGTCAGGGTGGGTTAACTGTTGATGTAGAAGGAAATGTGTCCAGTGGTGATGGTGTACAATATGTGTGCACTGTCCAATAGTGTGTGTAAGGATCACTTCTTCCAGTCAGGGTGGGTTAACCAATGATGTAGAAGGAAATGTGTCCAGTGGTGATGGTGTACAATATGTGTGCACTGTCCAATAGTGTGTGTAAGGATCAC